ATCATATCCAAAAGTATAAAGTCTCAAATGGCGTAGAACTTGCACGGTATTACTCACATACATACGTACACAGGCAGGATAACATAATCTCAACCCCTTTCTTCAAAAATACCTTGAGATGATTAATTGTTATTCAGTGTGTGATAACCTTTCGAAAGGCAACGCCAGTTTTCCATAAAGAAAGCCTTATTTGTGATAATCTAGACCTCCTCACACATACTGCCTATGTATACCAATTAGCGATTATTTTTTAACGTTTCATTTAGTACCCTTGTTAAATATAGAATGCTAACCTGTTCTCATATTTAACGTAATCCACTCCAAATTAAAAGAACTCTCCCCACAATCGTGTATGTGGTCCTAATTGGAAGCTTTTTACTGCGATTGTCCAAGAAATATTTTCCCTAACATTTTCTTTAATGCTATGTACCATGTAATCTTCTACGCACTTTTTCATATAATTTTGTCGATATCAGTGAAAATAAATTAAAGTGTAATCTTTAAGGACATACAGTACTAATCGTGTTGAAAAATGGGAACCAGTCTAGAAATGGGTGAACATTATTAAAAGTGTATATACGGGTTTGGCTGACCAGGATTGGTTAAAAAAAAGAATCTTTTGAGACCTTATCCTAGTTGAAAGTGAATAATAATAGAAACATTGTTTTACTGATGGAATCTCAGTTCTTGAGTTTGGAACACTCATTACTAAAATTAGCACCTGACTCCTTGGTGGGGAATTGAAAGCACATGTTTCAAACATATGCAGTTCCAGAAAATGCCGCAGTTCATATCCTTTCCTCTGCACAGAAGCTACTTCCAGGTTTCATCTATACTGATATACATAGGTTTGGTCATGATCACTCACAAATTTAAAATTATTGAATTTTTAATATCGTGGTGTTTGCATAGGTTTACTTTGGGAACTGAATTAGTACCGTGATTCCTTAACTGTATCTCAAAAAATGAAATGAATAACATGAAGTATGGTGAGTTTTTGGAACCTCGGAATACCCTGTGTTCAATAGACACTGGCTAATAATAGAAAACTGCGATTCAAAACTAGCAGTGAACAAGTGGAACTTTCTAACTCTTCCTGCACAAATTATCGAAAAGACAGGATATTGAAAGATAAATGAGAAGGCAGTGAACAAATGTAACTCTCTAGAATTCTTCGCCAAAAATGGATGTGCTTTGTCTGTGTACATTTCAGTAGTAAAATGTAGCTTGAAATGAGACTCTTAGTGGCCATTACAATCTGTTACCAAACTATCATATATGATCACCAATTTTCTTAAAAACAGTATAATAGAAAGGTGTCTTAACTAAACATTTTATAATACAGAAGGTATCGACTGCACCTTACTCTATATTCACTTCTTCAAAACGTCCTAAAAATATGTTCGCATACTTTACCGTATAAGACACAACCTTTAAACTGAAACCTAACGATAGCCATGCACAGTTTTGGAATATCTTAGATTTTTTAGCAAGTTTCAAAGTACCAGAAAACAGTAACATATTTTTGATTAAAACCACAACTGAACGTAACGCGAACAAATTGCTCGAAAACGTTATTTCAAGTAGAAAGTCGCTTTCTAACAAATAGGTTACCATTAATCACAATGTTTATATTATTTGTTCAGATTTTGTTTTAAATTATGAGTAGATTTAAGATTTAACATGATTATTGTACTTAATGCTAAATTTTAACAATTCAAAGTCAAGAAAAAATTAAATTTTAGAAAGCAGGAAGTTAACATTTAATTTACGAAGAAGCTCTCATTCAACAAAAGATGTGAATCGGAAATCACACAAGATTCCATAACTAAATCTTTATGACAGTTTTAAATCAATCAGTCTATTTATTAATTAATCAATTCACGAATGAATCCTAAAATGCAGAAACTAGTAAATTAAACGCTTCCTTCCACACAACCATATATCTTTCATCTCCATTTCTGGCATGATTACAGTTGACCGGCGCCAAAAAGCATCTCAGGACAATTCAGTAACTCCTATAACCAGATTTAAAGAATTAATGTTTACTTTCTTAATTATTATCAACATTTTTTATTTTGTAATTTCATGGTGTTTGTTTTAGCAATCAAGTCGTTTTTTATGTTTTTTTATGCTTTTATGTGTTATCTAATATTTTAAAGTGCTTAGAGCTTCTAAAAATTAGGTGATATATTAAATTCATATTGTTGTTGTAATAATAATAATAATAATAATAATAATATTATTATTATTATTATTATTATTATTATTATTATTATTATTATCATTATTATTATTATTATTATTATTATTATTATTATTATTATTATTATTATTATTATTATAATTTTATTATTATTATTTTATTATAATATTATTATTATTATTATTATTATTATTATTATTATTATCATTATTATTATTATTATTATTATTATTATTATTATTATTATTATTATTATTATTATTATTATTATTATTATTATTATTATTATTATTATTATTATTATTATTATTATTATTATTATTATTAATAATCTACTAATAACCCAGAAATATCATATATTAAATCCGTGGGATCAGTCTAATTTAAACCTAGCTCAGTATAAAGTGACATCACTAACAATGAGTACATGTGTATTGGTTCTTCCGAAAAGTACTCTTGCGAGGTACCATTGTATCAAGGTGGACTTTCAGTATATGGGTTGTAAGAGCCTTATTTAGAAAACAGCATGAATGTATCTTGGTAGAAGTTAATATTACATTTCATCAAAGTTTGCAAAGAAAAAGTGGCAGGCCTCATATCTGTATCTAGTATATACATTTCATCGAAACTGGCAAAGAAAAAGTGACAGGCCTCCGATCTGTTCACAAATATAAAGTGACAGACCGCGGATCTGTTTACAAATATAAAGTAGAAGGCCTCATATCTGTTGACAACTATAAAGTGGCAGACCTCATATTTGTTTGCAGATATAAAGTGACAGGCATCAGATCTGTTGACAAATATAAAGTGGCAGTCCTCAGATCTGTGGACAACTATAAAGTAGAAGACCTCAAATCTGTTGACAAATATAAAGTGGCAGGTCTCGGATCTGTTCACAAATATAAAGTATAAGGCCTCAGATCTGTCGACAAATATAAAGTGGCAGGCCTCAGATATGTTTCTATCATATACGTTTCTAAGTGCATGTCTCCGTACAAACAAATCCATCATATCATTAGTTAAATCATGCAACTAATCTCTGCTGCATTTGTAAATAAGCAACAACAAAAATTTGTTTTTCATAACACTCCACATTTTTTTTTTATTTTCTGACCAAAGTTGTAATCGGGTATTTTCAGCATGTGACTTTCAAGGTTTAAGTAAAATCTCCACTCCAAGACTTCCTAATGTCAATTTCCTCCAGATTATACAATGCATGAACAAAGGCAACTAAAAACCACTTTTGTAAGTGAAACAAAACTTCTTCCACACACAAAAACTTTCATTCGGAATTCTGTTCTCGACCTTAAGGTTACTTAATAGCTGATCACTCACAAAACATTGCCTCTTGTTCCAAATATTCTCAAGGTCACGTGCCAAGCAAACTGAAAACTCCACTGTCATATCTGTGCGTGATCAAGTAATGAGAGCCCCTGTCGCCATATCTGTTTGTGATCAAGTAATGAGAGCCCCTGTCGCCATATATGTGTGTGATCAAGTAACGAGAGCCCCTGTCGCCATATCTGTGTGTGATCAAATAATGAAAGCCCTTCTCTGAGTCAGGTGGTTAACATGCGGATAAGAACATAGTTTTGACTGTTTAACTCGTACTTGTACACCAGGGTGCACCTGTGCACCTTGACACCGTAACATAATTCAAATTGTATACATTGCAAGGGGCTAGAGAGGCATTAGGATTAAAACAACTGGGCAACATTGCCACTAAATTATTTCAAAAGAGCAGAATTCCAAGTTTTAGCCAGTTATTACTTTTGAAAATCGTAATCCATGAATCTGGTATTATTTTGTAGAATGACGGGCCCAGCCCCCATTCTCAGTCAACATGGAAAAAGAACAAACAACCCTGTATGTATGAATGGAATTGTAATAACCGCTGAGCTGCACGATACTAAAAATAAATATATTGTTGCCAAAACTTTTCTGCATGTAATCGCTATCTCTAAAAATATGCTGCTTACCGACACACTGTACCAACTGTATGGAAATATGGGAACCAGTCTGAAAATAGGTGAACATACAATAGAGCATATATGGGTTTGGCTGGCTTGGATTGGTTAATAATATAGTTAATTTTTTAGGGAAAAGAATCTTTTGAGAGCTTATCCTAGGTGTAACTGAATAAATTATAAACATTGTTATATTGATGGAATATCAGTCATTGAACAGACATTAGTTCAGAATAATCACTACAAAAATTATCACCTGACTCTTTGGTGCGGAATTGAAAGCGTATGTTTCAAAACAAGTAGGTACAAAAAAATGCCTCGACTCATATACTTTTCTCTATACAGAAGCTGACAACCTGGTTTCATCTATACTTATAAATATAGATTTGATCATGAGCACTCAAAAATTCAAAGTTATTGAATTTTTAATATCATGGTTTTTGCATAGGTTTACTATGGGAATTGAATAAGTACCACGAGTCATTAAATGCCAACATATTTAATAGGTACAGAAATGCTATTTATGGATCCGTTATAATTTATTTACAATTTTATGAAATATTCGTAGTTAGATGCAATTAATGGCGTGGTGGTGTTTTTAATTTTTAACGTAGCTTTAACAATTTTTCAGTCATATCGCTACGACGTCTGCAGTGTGGCAGTTTATAGTGATGTCTAGCACTGGGGCATCATGCCGCAGACATGTAGCATGATGTCCCACCCAATCACATTATCCTGACACCAGGCCGACCAGTCCTAACACTAACCTCTTAATGCTGAGCGTCAAGCGAGGCAGCTATTAGTACCATTTTTGTAAGTCTTTGGTATGACTCGGCCGGGGATCGAACCCACGACCTCACGCATTTGAGGCGGATGCTTTAACTACTATGCCCATATGCTAATATAGACTCAAACGGGAAAATCTAGGATTACATCGGCAGTAAATGGATTTAAATGATTACATCGGCAGTAAATGGATCTAGAGGATAACATCAGCAGTAAATGGATTCAGAGGATTACATCGGCAGTAAATGGATTCAGATGATTACATCGGCAGTAAACGGATTCAGAAGATTACATCGGCAGTAAATGGATCCAGAGAATTACATCGGCAGTAAACGGATTCAGAGGATTACACCGACAGTCAATGGTAAAATAATTAAAAGTGGCTGAGCTCAAGTGGGGTTATATAGGAACATTGTTAGAGTTGACATCAAAATGTGCCACAGTGAATAAATTATAAACATTGTTATATTGATGGGAAGTCCTGTTAAACTGGTACATAGAATGGGAAGTCCTGGTAAACTGGTACATAGAATGGGAAGTCCTGGTAAACTGGTACATAGAATGGGAAGTCCTGGTAAACTGGTACATAGAATGGGAAGTCCTGGTAAAATGGTACATAGAATGGGAAGTCCTGGTAAACTGGTACATAGAATGGGAAATCCTGGTAAACTGGTACATAGAATGGGAAGTCCTGGTAAACTGGGACATAGAATGGGAAGTCCTGGTAAACTGGTACATAGAATGGGAAGTCCTGGTAAACTGGTACATAAGCTTAAAGCAAGAATGATGTTATAGCCTCAGATATTATAGCTCAAAGGACTGACAGTTTATAGCCATGTTGTTCTCAATAAAAATGTCGAAACACAATTTCTTTGTTCCAAAAACCAGAAATATTTAAAAATAAGAAAATTATTTAACACAAAACAGGTGTACAAATAAACAAACAAAGAATATTTAACATGAACAGATTTACAAGGGTAAAAACGTTACTTTCAAGGATTCAAGCCATTGTCGTTTAGCCATTAATGCACATTTTATTTCCGAGATAAAGACAATAGATAACCATACTATTCACAAAATCATCTTTCTAATTCATCGTCGTTTTTAGAGTAATCACGATCAAATCAAGTCATTAAATATTGTAACGGATATCCATGAATGCCATGATGAACAAAATAATACACACAATCTTGTCAACACATTACTAAATCATAACCTTGCATCTTGCATTACTGAATCGAGCTGATACAACATTCCTTCCAATAAAATCAATTATGTCGTCTTCCACAGTAGGTAATACATAAGAATCAAATATTCCACACTATGATCGTTAGGAAAGTTGATGGCTAACCAATGGGTTCCTAGTCAATGACTGTCGTCTGTGTAGATGACACAGACTTTTAAGTCTTTAGATTTGAGATGGATACGTTCATCTTTAGCATGCACCACATGTAGGACGCTACATGATACATAACTCTCGCGTGGCTTCAAACGGTGTCAAGTACTATCTCATGTATTGGGGGGGCAATGTTAAGTTCGAATGGTCTGATACACATCGTTTGGACATCTCGAGTGACGTCCATCATGGACGCGTATAAATATTGGAACTCGACAGTAATTTGATCGATGGCTTTGTTGATGGCCGCATTGCTGACTATGGCAATGAATAAACGTTTGGGTAGCTGTCCTTAGGGAAAAATTATATTTGATTTTGGATTAGAATCCAGAGGCAATGGTGAAGGAGTGGGAGGTTTACTTATAAAATTGTGGCCGTTATAGATCTACAAATATACACAGAATGTTGTCCCTAAACTGATCTTTATACGTGTATAATTATTATTGCTACATTAGACTCAGACTATGTATGATTTATTTAAATATGTAATTTTATCAACGGCAACCAAGAGGAGTTCCATGACTGAGGAGGGGGGAGGTACATGCCCCCGTTCCCACCCACACCCACTTAATCTGGTCATGGTTTAACATTATCCATGGGGCTGAGACTATATCTAGTAAACCGGACCCGAGTGGCCGAGTGGTCTAAAGAGCTCACCGTAACGGATCACTGCCATCTCATCTCGAGTCTCCGATTCGGCCAATGTGTGTATGTGAGAAAGCTTGCCAGTAGCTTCTCATGGGTCTATGGTTCTTTCCGGAGTCTTTCCGGGTTCTTCCTCCACCATTTAGCCTATCTTTGGCAGAAAAATGTACATAAACCCTACAACAACAACATATAGTAAACTAAATTAATCCTTACACTGTAATTATGTACAGCCCAAAATCTAATATTATTTATTGGTATTTATTTAGGGATCCTACCCATAATGCAATTACAATACTTACCTTATCTCAGTTACAGAGCTGACTAACGTAACTGATGCCCACATTATGCCTTTATAGTTATTCCCCCATTTTATTCAAAATAATATAGCCTCTCTCTCTCTCTCTCTCTCTCTCTCTCTCTCTCTCTCTCTCTCTCTCTCTCTCTCTCTCTCTCTCTCTCTCTCTCTCTCTCTCTCTCTCTCTCTCGATCGATCGATCGATCGATCGAACGATCGATCTGATCGAACAGTTTTCTACGATGCAGGAATAGTTATTGTTTTACTGAAAACAGTTTATATTTTAATTAAAAGCTGCACTCTTGAGGATGTTAGCAAATCAGTCATGTATGTATTTAAAACAAATATTTGTACTACAACATGCCAGTACTTTTACGATTACATCAGGTACAGCAACATCGCAGCCATTGATGTTTTACTGCTGTTTATTCGCTGTAAAATAATCAATTAGGCTGTATAGTACAGGGGCATCGCAGTCTATGTTCTTTTGGCACGGTCATTCCTCATCTTTAATGGTGAGTGATGGGAAATGTAACTTTGGTAAACAATAAGAAGAAATATTGTAATCCCTATACCAAGTTGCGTGGTTTATTTGTGGTTGATCTGACTGCAACGTTTGAAAACTGGATAAGTCTGTCTGAGTGGATAAGTAAGTCGTCGAATAAAAATGCTAAATTACACTAACACTATTTAAAGAAATACCACAATCGGAAGAATTTTTCCTGAATACAGAACATCAAATTATAGAAGAAGAGACATTTATTATTTTAGAAAGGGAGCAGGGAAATAAAAATAAAGTATAATGGAGGATGTGAGTGACACAATACACGAAGGTGTTTTAATGAATTTTACATTTATAAAATCAATCCAAATGAAAATACAAAAGAACCACAAAAACGTTATGTTGATTGAAACGTGAAACCACCTATGCAGTACAAAACCCAAAAATTGGTATAGCCGTTTAGAGACCGGCCACTTCAATCTACCCATAGGCACTCGCAGCATAGGTCAAGGGGTCACGTGACCCACACATCGTACTGCAGACACACACACAAAAACACATATATATATATATATATATATATATATATATATATATATATATATATATATATATATATATATATATATATGATTAATCATGAAAATTAAACTTAAAATGTCACAAAATTCTTTTCAAATGCTTAATAAATATTAGTTTTAGTTTCAGACTGCTTCTTATACTAACTCTCCAAGCCGTGACTAACTGACTACCCTTCCTCCACCATAATACCCTAAAAAAAACCGCAAAAGATCCTGACACCCCACCCCACCCAACCCCACCGTTTGAAAAAAAAAATAATGCGGACACCCATGAATTTACCTGGTGAGTCTGGCAATGTCTATTGAACCGGTATATTTTTATTTTAAATTTGTTCTTCCTCTGTAAAAATTTCTTCAGCTAATAAAATGGATATATATAACGGATATAGTTTAATTATTTCAATCAACGAGTAAGAATTTTTTCATCCTTTTTGAAGGACTTAAATCGTTTCAAATAATCCCTCCGTATCCCCCACACCCCCTTCCGAAAATGGAATAGTCGATTATTATGAATGCTAGTTAATTATAACCATAGTTAACTTCTCTGATTGTTAGTAGAGTTGATAAATGTGAATGAACACATCAAAACTGTATGGTCATATATGCAACAGTGTCAAGGAAACTGTACAACAAGGGATAGAGCGCGGGACATATTTTGCATTGGACAGCTTCCATAGTCAAATCGTCAGTTTTGGACTTTGTCAATCTCATCAATTTCGGAGGTCAATAGGTCTTGCATACAGTGCGCAATCGTATAATAACTAAACAAAAGTTTTGATCACTCCTGTCGTCTGAAAAGAAAATAGTCGCGCACGTGAACCTGGTCGCCGTGTTATCAGAGACACTCTTGTTTGGTTTACCGCTCCGGTGCCCTATTGGTTAGAGCGTCCGCCTCGGAAGAGGGAGGTTGTGGGTTCGATCCCCGGCTGAGTCATACCAAAGACTTTTAAAAATGGTACTAACAGCTACTTCGTTTAACGCGCTCAGAATTAAGAGGTTCCTGTTAGGACTGTAAGCCTGGTGTCAGGATAATATGACTGGGTGGGACATCATGCCACATGTCTGCGGCATGATGGCGCAGTACTAGACATCACTCTAAACAGTCTTATTTCAGACATCGTAGCGATATTACTGAAAAATTGTTAAAGCTATATTAAAAATCTAAATCACACACACATACACACACACACCTGTTTGGTTTGAAATGCGAAAAAGACAAATGTCAGTGACCTCCTGGAGACATTCGAGTTAGAAATTTTAAATTAATTATTGAAATTACAGAATGAAATCACAAAGTTTTGACCATTTTTTAAAATTATTTTTAAAATTGGATGGGTTGGAGGACCAAATTGCTAGGTGAGTTGACGAATAAATGTACAACATACATTAACGTGAAGCATCACAAAAAGCCATCAACGAGATATACCTTTTAAGTTCAACCGGATTGGCTACAACATTGTCCTTAGGAACCGCGCTTGGCTCCCGTTTTCTCTGCATTTTATATTCCATTGGTGGAAATTATATATAAAGCCAATAATATGACAAAAGTGTCTTTTAAAGAGATCAACAAATTGCCTTACATTTGCGCCGCGGACTACATTTTGAAACATCACGTGACCCTATTATAATGGCCGAGCTCTGTTTTTTTAACACAGGGAAATAATTCCAAGCTTGATTTTCAGTCATTTTACATTTAACACAATCTTATTTTCACGAATTTTTTGTGATTTTTTGATCCAAAAAACAACAACAAAAATTAAAATATACGAATATTTATAAACCAGTGCTCCTTTAAGTTTTGCCCGTACATTGCTGTTCCTAACTCGAATCAGAAAAATAAGCCCAAATCCATTTTCAGCTGACCCTGTAAAAAGTGTCTGATGTATTTCGCAGGCACTCTAAAATCCACGTCTGACTTGGGAAGGATGCCCATGAAATAAAAAAGATCAATCTGTCTGATGCAAACCATTGTTAGTTACTTTTTACAGTATTCAGTTTGCTACTGATTTCTACCTTTCCGCCGATCCCAGTGCATTCTTAACTACGCATGCAGATGAAGTAGCAAGGGGGAAGTGAGTTATGGTACCATGGATGAAGATAAATTCTTTTCCTGGATACTCGTTTTACTTCGTTAGAGTACATTCTTTTAATATAACATATATTTTTCTGGCATAAAGGTGGAAATGATAACCAATATTGTGAGGCACACCTATGCTTTTTGTAGATTGTACGTGCTAGAAACATGATCCTACTGTTACGGTAAGCCTTTTTTGTAAAGCTTGAGAAAGTCAGTCCAACACGGAGGTGCTCTTTATTCTTCAAGAAATAAAATATGCCCGTACAACACCCTCTCTAGCAACCCTTTGAAGTCCTTCAGTAAGTGATATGACCAGGTAACGAAATAATGAATTACTATGTATATCAAAGTTCGAAGTGCCGACTTTTAAAACGCTATTCAAAAGCAACTAGAGATACTTAATTTCTTTATCTGAATATGTTTGAATGGTCTGCTATTTAGCCCAAACCCGTTCGGGCAAAAAGTCGAAGTCCCTATACTACATTGTTGAGCAAGAATTTTGTGCCCTTTGTCTTTTGTTTTTCCTTAAATAAGGAAATTAATCTGTTTCAAATATCCGGATTATGTCTGGCCTTACAAAAACACTTGGGTTGCCACGACTGTACAACACCAAACTACGGCAATTTTTGTTAATTGTAATGTACATTGTTTCGAAGCTAGCTAAAAGTATAAAATGGTTAATTTTGGTGCCATGATTCATGCATGATTCGCACAATAAGTTATCCAAACACGTCAACAGTCTCCTTCTGGTCAAAATCCTTGAACCATTTATGGCAAGCAAAATGACATTAATCGTTACTTACACGAATCAAAGTAATACGTTAATTGTGAATAAATGAAAATAGGAACAAAATAGACCTGGTTTGTTGTCACCAAAAAAAAAAAAAAAAAACATTAAGCATTAATGAGGCAAATGCATCTTTGATATAATGTAGTAGTTGTGTTATTCTCCAATTATCAGAGGGAGAAATCAGCTGCCTCTGAGCTTAGCAACCGACCAAACAATCCCAGCAACTGCTGGAAGAGGAGGGGGGGGACAGTGGGGTCCACATTCCTATTAAACAAGTTTGTTCTGTTGGTAGGGGCCCATAAATAAGTCTTGCTGATAGAGGGAACGAGAATTTATTGCTATGCCACTGAATATTTCATAAATGCTCTACTTGGTGTTAGAATCAATTAAAACATTGTATAAAAAATTAAGTAGATACAATCTGTCAATGAATTCTTTCTCACGAACATATGCTTACCAGGAAATCAATAATAATAATAATAATAATAATAATAATAATAATAATAATAATAATAATAATAATAAAGAGAAACGATATACTTAATTTTAGAATACTCATATTCAACCATGTAGACAAATGGAACCCCATGCTTTATATCTTTAAAACACGAAATATTACAGATTAGGGCATTATAATCCGGGATCCCCTAGTGTTACGAGGGTTCCTGTGCTCAGCTAACGTAAGTATGTGATAAAACTTGCCAGTAGCTTCCAGTGGGTCAGTGTTTTCTTTTTTTCTTTTTTGGGGGGGAGGGGGGAGGGTTCATCTCGGGTTCTTTCTTTACCAAATATACTTCCCAATGTGTCCAGTCTATCATGCTATGAAGACTGACGATAAAACCACAAAACAAAACCTTTATAATTCTCGCGTCTTATTGCGAGCCTCGCCTACCGCCAATCTGAGATCCTAAAATTACTATCATTGAAGCACATGAGTCTGCAATTTTATCAATAAAGCACAACGAAATTTCCGACAACATGAAATCACCTTAACGGCATTATAAATTAACACAAGGAATGCAACGGTGACCACAACCCTCCGCTTAGCTACGATGTCGTAGCCTCAACTTGTTTTGTTGTGGTTGTGTCCACAAAGTAAGACTAAGGTACTAATACTAGTACTACCCTCCGCTCGATTCGACTTTTCTCACGCGTCTTTTATCGCTTCAGAATCGTAAGACTGAAAGAAAACACACAAATCCATTCAAAAAAAAAAAAAAAAACAGTAACGTAGCAATGCAACGCTCTCGGACGACCATATCATGAACCCATTCCGGTGAATTAACCTTTATTTTCACCATTACGGTCACAAGCCATGAACAGCGCCGTCATTGCAGTTAGTGGCATATTTTCTGCTAGTTTTTAACCTGCAGTAAATATGCGTTAGGGTCTAATAATCGCTCCAAACACGGCGCTGAATCTGTTTTCTTTTAATACTAGGGAAATTTAATAATGCGGACTCCGTCAATTAGTTGAAATTGCTCAGAATAATGAATGCATCCTGAAAATGTTATTTACACAGTGCCGGATTTAGACAAAGCGAGGCCCCAAACCCATGGGAAGCTATAGAGGTCATATTTTGTATAAAATAAATTTGAGGGACCCCTTCAGACTGTATGTTGTTTAGCATATGCCTAAATCCGGTACTGTATTTACAGTATTACATTACTATTAATTTCAAAGGTTGTAAAAAATCTCTCTCTCTCTCTCTCTCTCTCTCTCTCTCTCTCTCTCTCTCTCTCTCTCTCTCTCTCTCTCTCTCTCTCTCTCTCTCTCTCTCTCTCTCTCTCTCTCTAAAACACTCAGTATAACAGATGATCTTACAAGTGGAAACCTCTATAAAATCTATTCAAAACATTTTTTAATCTTCCGGGTCCATACTCTAGGCTCTAATATTTGAATGTGATGACGTCATCAACTGTTACTTATACTATCAGTATTTTAACTACTTATTTCTGTTTTGGAAATTATACAAATATAGACAAATGATGCACTCTGAAAAAAAGGTAAACATTCTATCTTGCAAAAATAGTTTCAGGACGTTATTTAGCCCGCGGCAGAAATGGGCTACTTCCTGTAATAACCTCGCTGTTTAGGGTTTGTGACCCTAATGGTGGGAAGAAAAAGGTTAATTTACCAGATTGGGTTCATGCAATGGTCGTCCGAGAGTGATAATTTGGTACGTTACTGTTTTTTCTAATGGATGTGTGTAGTTATTTTTAGTCTTCTTACGATTCTCAAGCGATGAAAGACGCGTGAGAAAAGTCGAATCGAGCGTAGGATTGTTTCCTTCCTTTGCCTTTCTTGTGTTAATTTATAACACTAAGAGGATTTTCATGTTGTCCGAAATTTCATCGTGCTTTATTGATAAAGCTGCAGACTCATTTGGTAGAAGTAAGCATACCATTTCTAAACTAATAGCCTACGTGATTAGGCCAGTAATCGACCATGACTTGAGACCCTCCATCTATTTTTTAATATGTGAAATTATTGTATAATAAGAAAGTGGTTCGTATACGGAGCGGCATGATCTTGCTATGGAACTAAATGAACGTCCCTTAGTCTCATTAAAACCGATTGAAGAACACGAGATAATGGATTTTTTAAAAAAAATCAATCAATCGATAGATCAATAAGTTCATGCAGTTTTAGTTTATTAAGCTGTTTATCGTCTATATTTAATAGTCCCTACATTTATTCTCTACTTCAGCTAGCTTTACTTGATCTTAATGATTGAAGATGCGAACTTATTTTACTATGACTCTAACGCCTTAGTGTATACTGAAAAATGTTGGGGTTGTAAAGAGTCGTATATTTAGTGTGTGTGTGTGTGTGTGTGAGAGAGAGAGAGAGAGAGAGAGAGAGAGAGAGAGAGAGAGAGAGAGAGAGAGAGAGAGAGAGAGAGAGAGAGAGAGAGAGAGAGAGACTCACTCTTGATACTTGGAAGCGAGTCGAGAATATATCCGTATAAAAAAGAAGAATATTTACTACTAAACAAATCTATTCGTGTAAATTCTCGGTAGGAACCATAATATTCTATTGTTACAGATATTCTTATTGGTTGATTG